GGCGTCTGCTTCTCCCTCTGTGCCTCCTGCTCATGCTCTCTCTCAAATAAATAAAATATTTTTTTTAAATAAAATCTTTTAAAAAATAAAAATAACCTACTAAATGCAGAAAACGAAGTAACAAAATTTAGCTTTTTTATGTGTAACTTGATTGGATTGAATAATAATTTTACAGTAGTCGCAGATAGCCTTATCTATGTTACAGAAGCCACCCTGCAAAGCCTGCAAAGGCCACCCTGAAACTGATGATCAGATTATGAGGTTATTGGGGGGGGGGGAATACAGTATTCTGAGTATTTCCCCTGGCGAAATTATTACAGTATTATGAGTTAGTGAATTGGGGGAGGGGAAGTGGGAGGAACAGTTGTCTTTTTACATTGGGCCTTAAGAAAGTTGTCTCTGAGGAGGTACATCAAAGACGTATCATCATCAAAGACGACAAGGAGCCAGCTTTGTGCCTCTGAGGAAAACATTTCAGAGGTCAGAGGTGGGCATGAGGCATAGCAAAGCCACTATGGCTAGGACATGAAGAATGAAGTTGGGAGGTACAAAAGGCCAGGGAATGAGTATGAGCTGCAAAGTCTCTGGCGGGTTTTAAGCAGAGGAGGGGCATGATATAATTTCCCCAATAGGGATGGAATTGACAGTGTCTCTGACCTCCAGTTCAGGAGATAGACAAGAAAACAGGTAAAAATCAGGGATCCCTGGGTGGCGCAGCGGTTTGGCGCCTGCCTTTGGCCCAGGGTGCGATCCTGGAGACCCGGGATCGAATCCCACGTCGGGCTCCCGGTGCATGGAGCCTGCCTCTCCCTCTGCCTGTGTCTCTGCCAGTCTCTCTCTCTCTGTGACTATCATAAGTAAATAAAAATTTAAAAAAACATAACAGTATGTTGGATTCTTTGCTAGGAGAAGGTAAGGCCACAGGAAGTGTTGGGATTTTGCCAACAGTAGAGCTAGGCTTAACTATAGGTCTTCAGCCTGTGCAATTAATCTGAAACTTACCAAAGGATTTGTCTACCTCCTGCTTTTTTCTCCACCCCCTTCCCAACAAAGGTTAGTAAAGAACAGCTGTTTGCACACTGATTTTAGCCCTCAGATTATTCCACCTTCCCCAACTTTGGACCTATTTCTCTTGGGGGTGTTGGTGGTAGTAGTAGAGAGGATTTTGCTTGCCAGATCTTTTTCCATGGGGAAAAGATGTTCTGACCCATTTTATTTCTCCCAGCTCAGACATAAGTAACAAAGACATCCACATAAAATCCCAGCACTTCAACAGAGGCTTGTTCTTGAGTGGCAACATTTTTAAACATGCAAGGAGCATGCTTCTGAATAGTGCACCTTTCTTCCAAAATATCTTGCAGGTATTGCAAGCTGCATTTATTACAAGGTGTGAAATGTATGTATCTGGGAAGGGAACACAAAGACTTTGGTAACTTAGTGATGATGGGGGGGTGGGGAGGAGTTAAGATATTGTCAGGAAAGGGCAGGAGGTGAAGCAAGGTCTTGGAGGTGGTGGAGATAGGTCATCCCTTTAACCCTCTGTCCATCTAACATGGTAGCCATGGATTACCAGGAGCCAGACGCTCACTAGTCAACCATTCTCCTTGATGGAGTCATAGAAGAGGCCCAACAGTATTTTTCCCTTCTAAGGCCTCTTGGTCCAACCCATGCCATCTCACCTGGACATCAGGGCGTTCTGCCCCACTCCCCCTCATCACTGCTCTGTCCTGGCCTGAGACATCTGCCTGCCAGGTAGGAGCTTACAGAAAGAGAAGCCTCTGGGTGATGTGGCTGCAGAACAAATGATCAGGCTGGCCACCTCCGAGCAGAATACCAGGGCTTTCCTTTGCTTACAGGGTCTCGTCTGTTTCCAGCTTTAGCGTTCCCAAGGCCCCTCTTGCTTCTTCCCCTTTCAACCTGTTAACCAGCCCAGGAAGGGAGGAGGGAGGAAACCCCGCTCGGCCAGCCACATTCAGTTCAGTGACGGACTCTTCCTAGGCCCGACCGCCGCCTGCTAAGGGAGCTGCTTGGGTACCCACCGCCGCGCAGCAGTCCCCGCTCTGCCTCACATCCCGCCCAGGCCCGGCTCGCACCGGAAGATTCCCGGCACCTGCAGGCCCCTCCAACCTTGCTGGCGGCCCCGCCCCCGCAGGCGGAGGTTTAAAGAGCCGGGCGGCTCCAGCCGGGTGCAGTGCCCCTCCCTGCTCCCGCCGCCCGCCCAGGCCGCACCCACTTGGGGGCGGCGCGCCCGGGCCTATTTCTCCCGCGGCGGGCGCGGCTGCTTTAAGCGGGGGCGGGACTGCACCGCGGCTGCAGCGGCGGCGTCGGGGGCGTCGGGGCCTCGGCTTTGCTGGGGGTCGCGGGCTGGTTCTGCAGGGGGCCGGCCGCCGAGATCAGGGTAAGCGCGGGCCGGCGCGGGCGAGCGCGGGAGGGCGGCGGAACGACCCCGGGAGGAGCGCGCGGCGGCCCGAGCCGGTGCGGGGGGGGGGGGGGAGGGCGGCGTGGGGAGGCCTCTGCGGCGCAGCGGCTCCGCGCAGCGACAGAGATAGGCTCGGTGCACCCGGTCCCCCCGGCCCTCCCCTCCTGGCCGCCGCCGGTGTCCAGCCCGGCCGGCCGGGGTCGGCGGCCGCCCTGTAGCCTCCTGCTGCTTGTCCGCGCTGGGGAGCTCGGGAGGCGGAGGGCCAGCGGCGCGAGAATTGGCCCTCGGCGCTCGCCGTAGCACGGCCTGGAGGGCGGACGCTGGGTGTCCGGAGACGGCGACAAAAGGAGGGAAGCGCAGAACCGTTTGAGACCGGGGAGGGAGAGCGTGGGGTTGGGGCCTCGTTTCCCCAGAGGCGCCCCGGGCCAGCCAGGCACCTCCCGGCCTCCACGCCGGCCCCTGGCTCGCCGAGCCCGGCGCGGAGAACGAAGGTAGCGGCAGCGACAGCGCCCCCTCTGGCCCGGCGGCGCCGCCTCAGGCTCTCGGCGCGGCGCTGCGGGGCGGGGCGGGGTGGCGCGGCGCGGCGGGGCCGTTTGTCCCGGCGCGGGCGCTGCGCCGGCTCCGGCCTTCCCACCTGGGCCGGGACGCGGTGGCCCATGGAGGCCAGCCCCGGGCCCTCGGCCCCCGGCGTCTTGGAGCCGCTCTCCCACTGACCGGCGTGATGGGCGGTGTTCCCTCCTCAGCGCCCCCGACCCCAGGCCCGGCGGGACGCTGGGCTGGGCCTCCGGGGGGCCCCGGGGAGTGGAAGAGTGGATCACTTCGGTTGGACGAGGGGGGGCGGGGTCCAGGCCTTGAAGGAGTTTGGGCACGACCGCAAGGTTCGTAGGCACACGGGGAGGCCCCGACCCTGACTCTTGGGTCCCAGGGGATGAGGACGGGGGTGGGGGTGGGGGCCTTCTGTGTTTGGAGGAGGGCGTGTGACCTGAAAGAGGAAGCAGCCGTCGGGTCGTCCGGCGGGCCTGATGGAACCCCACTCTTGGGTCTCAGGGCGAGAGGAGTGCGATAGAGCAGCAGTCCGGCGTCTCCTCCGTGTCGGAGAAGTGCTTTTGGTGTCTCAGAGAGAGTGGCCCGTGGAGGCTCTGTGGAGTCGGGGTGTCCCCATCACCACTTGGGGCCGAAGTGTGCGCTGCTGGGGAGGGCTTCCGGTACGGAGGGCTTTTGAAAGCCCTGCAGGAGGAAAAGATGAAGTCCTGAAGATGCCTCTTGACGCAGAGTGGAATTAAACGGTTATATACACAAGGAAGATAGGTAAAAGCAAATTCAGTGGGTTCCCAAGATACTTTTGTGAGTGGTCCTAAAACAAACCGGGTCTCCCTCTGTATATAATGTGTCAGTCAGCCTGGAGAGGTAGTTCTTGAAGGGTGATGGGCAACAACTTGGAACATTCATTCAGAGAAGCATTTTCTAAGTGCCTACTTTTGTGCAAGCAAAACTTAACTGCTTCCTGGGCCCCTCCCTGAACCACCGTCTCTGGGTTGTGGTTGGAGGTCCCACCTTGGGCACCTGATGCTCCTTGCGCACCCTGAAGCCTGAGAACCAGTCATCCAGGGTAGCAGTTGTCCAATCCAGTCAGCTGCCTGTTTGCTGCTGCTGCTGCCTTTGTTTTTAAATATTTTAAATTTTAATCTCTACACCCAGCGTGGGGCTCAAACTTAGAACCCCAGAGCCTGCAAGAGTTGCATGGTCTACAGGCAGAGCCTGCCAGGCGCTCCTCAGCTACCTGTTTTTAATACAGCCTGTGAACGAAGAATGGTTTTTAAGTTTTTAAGTGGTTGAGAAAACATCAAAAGAAGAGTAATGTTTCGTGACGTTTGAGAATTATGTGAAATTCAAATGTAAGTGTCCATAAATTAAAATTTTATGGGTCACAGCCATGCTCTTTCCTGTATGTGTGTCCATGGCTATTTTCTGGCTGCAACAGAGCTAAGTAGTTGTGGTAGAGACCACAAAGGCTGAAATATTTACTGTGTCTGGTTTACAGAGTTTGCCCATCCCGCAGTCTAGGGAAAGAAGGATATACAGTAAGGGGAGGGGGGCGCCTTTGATTATAAAAATCATGTTTAGAAATTAATAGGTAAAATGGATGTAAGTTTACTTTCAAAAAAGCAGAGGGAATAGTATTGTTGGTATTTAAAAACTATTTTGCTTAATATAGTCCTTTAGGTAAGATTTTCATAGAGACTGTGAGCTGTGCCTTCAGTAAGTTGGCTAACCTTACGCTCCTTTTCATAGGCTGGGTGAACTCATGGACCTGATGCTTTTCTCTTGAGAAAGAAACCACTCAAAAGAAAAATGGCATTTGTTGCAACACAGGGGGCCACAGTGGTTGACCAAACCACGCTGATGAAAAAATACCTTCAGTTTGTGGCAGCTCTCACTGATGTAAATACACGTGAGTTGATCCTTTTTGTCATTAAAAAATGTGTTATCATGGTTCATCTATCTCAGTTCAGATGATGTGCACGTTGAGAATAAAGAGTAATGTTGGCTTTTATCCTAATTTTCCTATTCTCTGCCTTGTGGAGAAGCAAAGTGATGAGCATTATTGGCTAGAGCCCCAAAGAGGCACATGTGTGTATGTGTGTGTATGCATGTGTGTCTGTATCCTTGTCTGTGCATGCACATGTATGTCTGGGAGTACGAATGTGTCTGACTGATTATAGGGAACTAGTTTGTGCCTTCTGTTGGACGATGACAGTCAAACTGATAAGATCTGATTGCTTCTCTTAAACATTAAATAATTTTATGAAGATCCTTGACATAATTTCAATTACCTGATAACTTGTTTTGTCATTTACAGCTGATGAAACAAAGTTAAAAATGATGCAAGAAGTTAGTGAAAATTTTGAGGTATGAACTTACTATATATTTTTTTTGTTGTGAGGTAAATATTCACATGTGCTTCCCAATTGCTTCTCTGTTAATCTTAGTAGTGAGTCAAAAATCATTCTTTCTGTTAATGTGATTTATTGTATTTCACAACTGATGAGATGTGTGCACGGTATTGTCCAACTTTTTTTTTTTTTTTAAGATTTTATTTATTTATTATGAGAGACACAGAGAGAGTGGCAGAGACACAGGCAGAGGGAGAAGCAGGCTCCATGCAGGGAGCCTGATGCAGGGCCCCAGTCCTGGGACTCCAGGATCACAGACGCTTAACCACTGAGCCACCCAGGTGCCCCTGTCCTTATACTAGTGACCGTGAACCTCAAGTATCATTGAGGGATGTTGCTTTGGTTTTGGTGGTTAAACCTTTTTCCATTTTGAGGCATATACTTTCAGGATACAGCCAGACTTAAGTTGTGGATTCATTACTTTCACATAATACATGTGTTACTGGGTACAGAGAGCAGGACATCACTGTGGCTCTGTTACTTAGCACTTGCATGACCTTGAGCGTTTCCTCTCTTCTGAGCCTCACGTTCCACAATTTCCCGGTATCCCATGGGTCCCTGGGCTCTGTTCACTTTTCTTTGGTCTTCTCTTTGTTCTTTAGATTGGATGATTTCTATTCTCTGCCTTCAGGTTCATTGACTGTTTCTCTGTCCTCTCCAGTTGGCCAGGAGGTTTTAAAGTTTCAGTTTATTTTCTATAAATTTTTTTTTTTATTTTAGTTTTTGTATTTTCAGTTTTGGCGTTTCTGTTTGGTTCTTCTTTTGATTTCACTACTTCACAGAGATTATCATCACATACCAACATCATTTTGTTGTTGTTATTCTTAGACCATTTTATAACGACTGCATTAAAGTCTTTGCTAAATGCAACATTTGGGCTAGATGAGGGTTAATTACTGACTCTTGGTCACATGATCCTGCTTCTTGCGTTGTCTAGTAGTTTTTGACAGTATGCCGAATACTGTATATGAGGCCGGGGACTTTAGATTGTTACCTCCCTCTGAAGAGTCCTGATATTTTGATTGTGGTAGGCAGTTCAGTTAACTGGTTGATCTCGAACATACATGGGGTTGGTTTTATGCTGGGGCACAGAGGATCATGGGAAGGCTAAGGTATTCTTGGGTCTCTAACCTGGCGGGATTCACCCTTCAAACCCTGGCTTCCCACGGATATCATCAGAGGTTGATTTTAGGCTTGGCTTGTTTTAGAGACCTAGAATAGGCCTTACTCCAGGGCATGGTCCTTTCTCAGCTGGATGTCTGGGGTGTTAAAGAGGTGTTATGAAAGTGCACTGTGCTCAGGCTGGAACCCCAACATCCTCCAACATTGTTAAATCTCTGATACCTCTTCGTCTCTCAGTCCCAAAGCTGTCCCTGTCCGGTAAGTTCCAGGTGGTCTTTCTCCCTCTAGTATGTGCAGTCCAGCCCTCTGTCAAGGTCTCAGAGACTCAGAGAAGACCATGCCCTGTAGTTCCTGTTTCTCTGGGACTCTGCTTTGCAGATTCCGGCCACTTGAACTGTTTGGAACTCTGGTGTTTGCTGCTCAGTTCAGCAGGTCCATCCTGCTGACCTTGGGTGTCAGCCTGCCACGCCCCAGTCAGGACATCTGTACCCAGGCAGAGAGCCACGGTGGTCATATAATGTCCCCTGCTCCCGGAGATTGTGGTCTTGCACTGCCTCTTCTCCAGTACCTGAAAACCGTTCTCTGGTTTCTTGTCCAACTTTATGGTTAGTTTTGTGCTATTAGTTTCATGGGCAGGAGAGAAGATTTTATTTATCTTTAATGTGAGGATAATAAATATTTTTAAGAGAGTTAATGTGATTAAGAAAAACAGATAAAATGTTTTCAGCTTCCGGCATGGCCATTTGGATTACAAAGGATCAAATAAATGCTCCTGCGGAATGAATCAGTGCCCTTCTCTGCAGCACTGGGTAGTATTTCCATTTGGTGGTTTTATTTTAAGTAAATGTTTTTTAAGGACTTGTTGCGTTGAGCTGAGCTGGGAAAATAAATCCTGAGATATTTAGAGATTGAGCTAAAGAGCTTTCTCTTTTGCCCAAGCTGCTAACGCAAGCTGTTAAAAAAAAAAAAAAAAAAAACAACAACAAAAAAAAAAACAAAGAGGTGGGAGGTAGAACATGATTGGCTTGTGTTCTGCGTTTTTGGAAGAACTGATAAGTGAGAACCAGACCCCAGCGGGTTTGAAAGGATGGAGTCCATCCTGGAGGAGCTGGCAAACCTTGAGAAACAAGCATGTATGTCAGGCGTCTGAGTGCGGGCCTAGGACCAAGTGTGGGCCTGGATCAAGTGTCCGACCTTTTCTCTCCTGTTTCCTGTCTGCCAGTTAGCAAGTTAATTTCTGACTTTGGTCACAGACACATTGATCAGACTCCCAGAACTAAAGTCAGTGGAGCAATGTACTTGGGGCTTTTGAAAATCAGGACTTTGGAAATCCGTAGGATATAAACATTTGCCTTAAATGAAATTCAGATGACTAAGGCCTTCAAAGAATCAAATACTAGAATGACCATCAGTAGGTAATTCTAAGTTAGCACCACTACCACCCCAGAAAAATACCAGAATGAGGGGACTGAAATTAAAAAAAAAAAAAAAAAGGCCAGTGCTTACAGGAGTCTTAGAAATACATTTCACTAAGCACTTAGGAATAAAATTGTGGGCCAAGTAAATGTCCTGTGGGCCATCTTTCAAGATAGGAGCTAAAGAAACCTCCCAAGTTAGAACTCCTGTGACAAATTCATGTGGATCAAAAAGCTGGGGGCTGAGTTGAAATCCTGGCAGAATAGCCCGGCAGCTTGTGAATGAATCTTTTTTCAGAGGAATCTGAAACTCCTGTTTTGAAAATTTGGAAGCCGCAATCGAATGGGCCTCTGTGCAGATGAGCTTAACTTCTTGGTAACTTTGATAATGATACAATGGGAATCTTCTTCCTTGAGTTTTTGAATATGGATATTTTGTAAAAAGTCTTAAGCTTTGGGGACGAAGGTTCACACACACACACACACACACACACACACACACACACACACTCAGACTCCTGTTTCCAGTGAATTCACACACCCTACTTGAGGAGAGGCTGGGGGCTGCCCGAGGACTTCTCCCATGGTGTTCTGTGCGAATGGAGCCCTGGGTGGGTCCTGGGAGCCTGGTGCTCAGGCACACGTTCCAGGAATCACACTGTTTTCTTTCCTGGCTCCTGTGGCAACCCTTTTCTGGTTTTCACCTGTTTCTCTCTTTTCCTTCATAGACTCCTCTTCCAGGATTACCTTATAATGGTAGACAACCCCACATCTTTATCTGCACCCTCAGTGAGCATCTGAACTTTCAGACGCTCGTATTTAATTAACTGCCCGTATGTGTCCTCTCATGGACTTGTCAGGCTAGCGATAGTAACAGTTGAAACCCTTGCTCTTATGCTCCCACCTTCTGCCATGCTCAACTAGTTTTAGTTCCTTCACATCCATACTTTTTTTTTTTTTACATCCATACTTATAATTTTCTGCCTTTGCAATGGCTTTCCTTAGAACCTTCTTCATTTCCACTCTTTTCACGAGGTTAACTCCTGCTGGACTTCTAGGTCGTAGTGTAAACTTTGCTGCTTAAGGAAGGGGTTCTGTGTCCTTGGTTCCATCCAGTACATTGTGGTCTCTTAGTTGCCAGTGCTTCTTCTATTATAATTCTGTACTGTTCTTTTTATCTGTATTCCCAGCACATGACTGCCTCCCGCATCTCTGAGGGCATAAATATTGTATCTACTTTCTTCCTTTCTATGTTTTTTTTTTTTTAAAGATTTATTTATATATTTTTAGAGAAAGTGCACGTGTGCAAACATTGGGGGGGGGGGCGGGGAGCAGAGGAAGAGTGAGATTCCCAGGCAACTGCCCATTGAGCGCAGAGCCCAACGGATGGCTCCATCTCATGACCCGGAGATCATGACCCGTGCCAAAACCAAGAATTGGATGTTCAACCAACTGAGCCACCTGCACGTCCCTCCACTTTCTTCATTTTATCTCCATGGAGCACATGATAGAGCCTCACTGAATGAGCAAGTGAGGCCTTAATGGGGAAAGGACCTGGCTGTTAGAGACACTTAATTTGGAAACACTTCTCAAGCTTTTGAAACAATATTCAGCAAGCTTTATAATCTCTCTGAGCCTCTTTATGAAATGGAGATAATACTTACCTTAGGTTTGTGAGGACTGAGTGAGAAAGAGTAAAAATACACAGGACGGCAGTTAGCACACAGGTGATCTGGTAATATTGCCAGATGACAATGAGCATTTACCTTAGAACATTTGCTGTGTCTTAAATTAACTCATGTAATCTTCATGTGATTACCTAAGACAGTAAATAATATGATACTCAACAGAGGGGACACTGAGGCACAGAGGCTAGGTAACTGCCAGAGGTTCCCACTTTCTAAATGGGATCCAGAAACTGCTCTAGGATCCATTTTATGTCACTGTCTCCAGACTTTGGGGTCATTTCCAATTCTCCTTTTAAAGTCAGTGCTGGGAGAAATAATGGATTAGGTTAGATTATAATCTGATGAATCTAGATTTGACAACTCAGCTTTTCAGATTAGAAAAAGGTACCAGTTTGTTTAGGCTCTTCTTCATTTTCCACTTGAAGAGACTATGATCTAGAAGCTAAATGTCTTTTCAGAGATCTCACACTTAAGATGTGGTAGAGCCAGCCTCTGAAAGAGGCTCCAGATTCCACATTTTCCACAGCATTAGTATTTCTACTTTTAACATTTAACAGTTTTAACATTCACTTTGCATCTTAAATTGGATTTCAGGAGCAATGATC